TTTGCCATATGTATAATTTCATAATGTTCTGTGACTATTTTATAATTGCAGTTCCTTCCAAGGGGAAAAGGAGTGGAGGATTCAACATGTTCAAATAATACTAAACAGTCGAATTCCATTAGAGTTGATCCATTTCCTTACATTGGTGGCCATGGTTCTGTCTATTTTAGACTGATCAAAGTCTACCTTGTTTTTATTTTTATTTTCTTTTACAAGATTGTCAGTCTGTTGGGACTGTCAAAGTCAATTCCGAGTTAATGTTGTGTACGAGAACTTGCAAATTCTACCGTCTCATTGTTGTGTTAATTCTCAAAGTACACAAAATAAATGGGGATTCCAAAATATTTCCTGATTTATATTTGATCCACTTCCTTCAAAATTGCTTTTCATTTCCCTTCTGCTCTCAATTACATAACAGACTGGAAAGTTTTTGATTGGCACATTCAAATTGTTTACAAACTATTGGTTGAGATTAGTGCCCTGGGGCAGAAAATGCCCGGAATTTTGGAGATAAACGTGTGTTTAAAAACAGTATTGACCAGGTGTCAGAGGGCAATCCACATCTGGCCTCTCAATGATGATAACAACAACAACATGCATTTATATTGCGCCCTTCACACCGAACGGCATCTCGGAGCCCTAATTCTGTACCTTAGATTTGATCATTTTATTTGCTTCACTATAAACACTATAAATAGTTTTAGAAGTTGTATAAGAAACAGAGAAATTTTCATCACAGAAGGAGGCCGTTCTAACTATGGTACTGTGCCAGTATTGTGTGTTTTTCTAAAATTTTTTAATATAAATACCACTTCCCAGTTCTTTCTGCAAACCGTACTTAATAAGTTTACTGCTCAGGCGCTTATATAATTCCTATTGTTCCAGCCTCAAAAGCCACCTGTGAATGAATTTCAAAACCCTTAACAATCCTTTGAGTGAAGAAATTCCTTCAAATCTCTCTCCTATGTTCTTTTGCTATCAATCTTGAAACTATGCTCTAATTATTTTGTCATGTCCTGTCAGAATCTTAAAGACTTTCACCATTATATCCTCTCAGTGTCCCCTACTCCAGCAGAAAACGACCCAATTTAGCCAGCCAATATATGTATTGCATAGTACCCGATACTATCCTAGTGAATCTAAGCTGCATCCTCACCATCTCTATGACAGCATGTCATGTATTAAGGAACCCAAAACTGAACATAATATTTCCATTGATGCCTGACCAATGTCCTAACAGCAAATCCTCTTGATATCAGCTAGGATTCTCTTTGCAGATCAGAACACCATATTGCTTTCAACAAGTGTGTTATTTTGGTAATGGGATAAATCTTTGCACTCTAAAATGCTTTGGAAAGGAAAAACTTTCCAATGTTTAAATCGAATGGATGTAAATGAATTATTTACAAGGCCATTGCTACACCATTAGACTTGTTTTAGTTCAGATAGTTTTTAAATGAAACTCTATCATGAAACGTTCAAGAAACATTATCTACAACATCTTTGTAAAAACAGGTACTTGCCAATTAGTACTCAGTACTAAATACTTTAGCATAAAAGTATTTTTCAACAATTTGTAACAAGGTCAGCGTCATCCTTCAAGCAACTAGTGCAAAGAGTATATAGGTGTATCACTAAATCTTTGTTTTATCTTTACACCTACACAATAAAAAAGTTTCGAAATGGATGTTTGCACTTACCCAAAAGCAACAGACTTCTATTTTGAAGAGATGGTTGGCAGTTCTTTGTCACAAAATCATGATAGTGTAGTACTACGATCATCCTACCTCACTATATCAACCTTATGTGTTATCAGGAACATCTGGCTCATTGTAAAATCCTGGCTGCTTATAGGCAGTCTATTTAAAAATAGTATTACAAAAATTGAGTGGACAGATGCTGAGTCCACTGTAACCTTAATAACAGTCTCGATGAAATGATTTTCATAGAATGACACTCATTGTGAAATTCTGTTGCACTCATTCTGTCCCGATCACTTCTGTTGTTGAGCCACTTTATCAAACAGTTCAGGGTCTGAATCAACTTACCGTGTCAATAAGTAGGTGCATCTCTTTAAACCTGTCAGCACAAGTAGTTTGTGCTTTGTAACCCATTTAATACAGGGTGCACTTCAATTACTAGTTGGTGCAGTGGAGTGGCAAGATTGAACCTTCATGCATCTGTGGGGCCACAGATGTTGATCTGAATGAGACCACAAATATATCCATTCTGTTCTCTCTTTCCACCTTAATTTTTTAAATAAAAAATAGCAAATGCTTCCAATAGGGCAGTCTGCAACACTCTCTTTCTCTCTTATTTACTTTTAGTGTCGAGAGTGCCATATTCTTCATGATTAGAATTGGTACACAAGTCAATGAGTACCCAAAACTGCTGAGAGGGTAGTTGTTTCAGCTGTTTCTTTTGAAAAGAATCATTTGATAATGTATCACCATTATATGTATGTATCACATTCCCATGTCCTATTTTACACCCCACCCCCACCATCCACATAGAATCTGCTCATTCCATTACTAATGTACCAAAGCCTGCTGACCAATGAGATGTGTTCTGTGCTGCATATAAAAAAATAGCTGTACCCATTGCAGCTACGCTTGCAACCAAAGGATCCAATATGGAATATAGAGTTCAGTGATACCAGTCACAAACCATTTAACATGCCATGAACACTGTTTGTACACCTGAAGCAAAACTACCATACATGTTGATGAGTTTGTTGAGGTCATAGCTCATCAATAATAGGAGATCCCCCCACAGCATATACTCACGACACTCCCCCATGCAAGACCTTTCTGATGAGGTATAAATCATGTCTCTATGTCAATCGGTTATTGCATTCTTGGCGGATACACAAACACACACACACACACAGATATTTCGTCTTTATTAGTATAGATGAATGAGATTCTATCTGGTGCATTCTAAGACTGGGTAAGCATATTTCCATATCTCTGTCCATACTATAGAAAGTCACATATGCTGGTTCTTTCTAGGTATTGTTCGGTGTACATGTTGGAGGGAAGGTGTACATTGTTTTGAAGGGAGGGTGCGCCAAACCACAACAGAGTGAAATAGTGGTCTACTCAATATTCATGGTCTTTGCAATTATGGCAGACTTCCTCAACATACCAGTCTCAAAATTGATCATTCACTTCATAGCTGTATGTAGGGCATTTTGACTGCTGAGTTTCCCTACAAAATAAACAGTCACTACACTTTACAATAAGTCCCCTGGAGCACTTTCAGACATCCTCTTGACTTGAGAGGCACTATTATCAATTGCAAGTATTATTATCGCAATCATCTTCTTGGGAGTTTCTGTGGTGTCCAGTGCCTTGGGAGTTCCAGCGCCTTGGGACATCCTCCTGATGTGAAAGGCGCTCTATAAATGTAATTTTGTTGTTGTTGTTGTTGTTGTGTCTCTGTTGCTTGTGTAACCTGAAAACACAAAATCAAATTGTTTATCCAGTGTTTCGTGAGCAAGGCTCTGTCTGACGTCTATAATGCTCCTTCTTTCTACTGGGGGAGAACCCACCTAGGTTCCACTTGCGTCATCTTTTTCACTCTGATAATGGAGCTTCCGTAGCCTTTAGCTGTAGCTGTTTGCTTTAAACACCTACATAAGCTGAGTAACAGTCTTGTAGGCTTCCAAAATCCAAGAGGTGACTGATCTACCTTTTTTTTTGCTTTTCTTTGGAATTATATGAGAATACAAATGTAAAAAAAAGTGCACATCAGTACACATGTGATCTTTCCTTCTACAGATGCTGATGTTGTGACCTTTACATGACTGATTTAAAGTAATGTGGACAATCACACTTTAAAACAGTACTACATGGAGCACACGTAAACAATTATTTTGTTGCAAAAATCAATCTGTCAAAGTGCAGAATGCTGAATATTGATTATTTCCCACTTGACAACAACAATAATAATAATAATATTAGTAATAATAATAATAATGTGCTCATGTCTTGACTAAATAAGTTCACAAACACTTTGTCACAATTAACTCAGCCAAGTTGGTTTGAATGGATTTAGTGTGTTTTAGCTTCACGTTTAAAATCCTAAAATACCAAAGCAGTTGCTTGTACTGAGTTTAACCAGTTTTATAGTAAGAACTAATGTTGTTTTCAATTTTGTTATGTTATGCTGTGTTCATTTAAAAGTGGTTTGGGATGTGAAAGATATGTTCAATGTTTCAATAAATGATGATGCTTAATGATGGTAGTTAAATGATCTGTGGACAATGATTAGACAAGTTAGCGTGCTTCAACCTTGAAGCAGAGGGAACTTTATAGTGTTATATGAGATTTTAAAAGTGATTGAGAAAATAGTCCCAGAAAAATACATTCAGATAAACTAGGAGAGTAGAACAAGCGGTTTGGGAAAGAGACTAGGAAGTATTTTTTCACCCAGAGGGTAATTAATGACTGGGCCTGCTCACTGGGAAGGCTGGGATCCTGAATTAATTTGAGAAACAGCTTGCTTCTGCATCGGGAGGAAATTAGGGTGCGTATTCTGGAAGGATGAGATCAAATGAAATTAAGGGCTTTCCATATCCAAGTGTAGTGACTGTATAAATGAACATTCATACATGGAGAGTATTTTTTCTCAGGAAACAGTTCGCCCACATTGCTGACAAATAATGAAATCATAACTATACCATTTTTTAATATAAATATTTATTTTAAAAGCTTTCAAAGACATTGCTTCATTTACTATCAAATATAATATAATTCAGTATTAAAGTTGCACAGTTGACTGCTAGTAATAAGTTATTGTAAGTAAATACCATGATGTATATGAAATTATACAGATATGTCAGATGATACACAATAAATATGTCAGAAATAAATATTGTATGCTGTTGGTTTAAGCAAGTTTCCTTGGATTTTCTTCACTTTAACCAAAGTGTAATTGATAATTTGCTGCATTTCCAACGATACATCTACCAGTCATCCATTCTTGGTAGGTGATTCTCAATCTTTCTTTCCAGTTCTTGGTTTTGAACAATATTTCCCTATATCCTGAAATAGCATGTACAGCTCTCCTACAACCTTGGCCTCTCTGTTCTTTCCGAGCTGGAAGGTAAAGATGAAACCAATCAGTTAGTCCACTAAGACAATGGCCAACACCAGAAGAACCAAGGTACAGCAGCACTGCTATAGCTGTGATTGCCCGCCTGGTGATATTAGCTCGACTTTAAATATTTATTAGTAGAAATGTTGAACTTGTAAGTAATGAACATTATCATGGGTGTCCAAAAGCAAAAAAAACCACTGTGTAATTAAAGATTTTACTATGCTGTATTCTATGAAACGTACAAAATGTATACATCTTACCTTCCTCACTTCCCGTTCTAGCTCTTCAAGTTTGTGATCTACTTTCTTCATTTCTTGAACATCCTGAGAAAAACACATTCAAGTCAACTAAACCTTACATACAGTACGTTTCCCTGTTCAGTTCATCCCAGCCTTTGCTGTAGTGTGACTTGCTAATAATAATAACAATCTGAACATTTTGCTGTTGTAGCTTGATCTGAGGTTTTCCTCCCCCCAGCAGAGTGACAGAACACTTTCTAGTCATGTAGTTTCTTATTTTCAAAGTAACTGACAGCTTGGGTGTAAGATGCATTCAATCAAGTTCTTTCTGGAGAAGAGGAGGAAGGAAAAGAGATACTTACACATTTAGATATGCTCATTTTCAGAGTGGTAAACGCCTCCCTGACTTTTTTGATATGTGAATATTTCCTGTGCAGTTCTTCAGATGCCAGGTCATTTCTCAAATAGAAGTCAACAACTTTGTGGAGCAGATAGCATTTGTCCTCTTCCTGTGAGTAAAGCGTAAATTCAGTTTACTTTCCAAAACTACCACACCACCATTCATCATAACCCTGTGCTATCACTTGTGTCTGCACTATTAAGAAAACCATCAGCATTGATGCAATGTAAAGGTTTATACCTGAAGACCCTGGAACAGCTTCTTTCCTATCAGTCTTGTTGCTGTATCCTTGTCATGCTCTTGAGCCTGTTTTTTAAAGAAAAATAGTTTCAATGAAGTCTTCAATCAAAAGACACATACTTTGGGCTGTGAGTGAGCAAGACAGGATTTTTTTACTCACCTCTTTTGACAGGTCAAAGATAGTGGGTCGCATGAAATGCATGTAATATTATCCACATGGCAAGACTCCTTACACGGTGCACAGTTGACCAGGAGAGTGGCATAGCCAAGGACCAATACTGCTGGACTCCAAAGGCAAGGCATCGTGAAAACAATCTGTTGGAGAGGTCTAGCTCACCTGCAAGATAAGACAACCAACACCGAGATGATCACAAATCAACTCTTTTTTTTTTGCACCTTCCAGTTGAGACCAAGAAAAGACTGCAACCAAAATGCAAGAGATTTCAATCAAGTCAATGAGTTTTCCTCACCTCGTGCTTTTCTGAATACAGTGCTCGTTTGCATTGTTTATATATCTGTCTTGAGTCGTTCACAAAAAAAAAACCCTCAATGACCTAATGACGTGACACGTACTAACCAACTTTTAAGTTTCCGTTTGGTTTCAGGTAATACAACGGGATATATTTTTGCTGATTTGCGCACAGCGCAAGAACGCGAAGTCTCTCTTTTTCCAAAAAAAAAAGCCCAGAAGAAAAACCACTTAATTATTCTGCGTTTGCAATTATTCTGCAACGATAAGACTCGAAATCCTAGCCTCCCTGGTTGGTATTTTTTNCTCTCTCTCTCTCTCTACGAGGCTATCTTGCAAGCGAAAGGCGAGAGAGAGCATCTTGTTTCAAAGAGCATCATCACTCGCAGCCCTGGAATCATGTCAGTGTAGGGAGCCCCCAGGCGGAGCTCAGCGTCTTTGATTCTCCACTACTCATTTACACCCTCTCAATGTACAAATAAAAACACCCTAAACAATTTATTTATTCCCAATCAGTGTTTCCCTTGGGCGTCACCAAACTTTCCCTATTGGGCAATAATCTACAGATCGTTGAAGCTCATGGTTAAAGCTGGGCAGCTGGGAATTTGGTGCATCACATCCTCTTTTGCTAAATAATAATAATAATAATAATAATAATAATAATCCTTGCATTTGATATAGCGCTTTTCACGTCGGGAGGACGTCCCAAAGCACTGCACAGAACACACTGTAAAGTGAATTGACTGTACATTTGTGGGCGAACGCGGCAGCCAATTGCGCACAGCAGTGTCCCACAAACAGTCGTAGATTGAAAATGACCAATTTATTATTGTTTTTGTTTTGGAGGGATTATTATTCGGCGTGTGGAGTAAGGAAACTTGCCCAAGGTTTCGCCTTGCCTGGAATTGAACTCAGGTCAAATCTGGGAAATATCGATTCCCACTGTCTATGTCGGCTCACAAGCCATACAAGTTCCCTTTGCACCTGTTAAAACATCATGTGCCCCCCAAAATTCTTACTGTCTCAGCCTTGGTCCAAGAAGGCAGAGAGGATTCGAAAATTATTTTCAGTCTTAACTTGCAAAGCCATCTTCTTGTAAGAATCGCTGAAAACTGGCTTTCAAATTGAGAATTAATTTCAGAACTTCGCCCACAGAATATACAGTCACTGCACCTCACAGTATATTCTGTGAAGCTCTTTGAGACGTCTCGAAGGTGTGATAAGACGCCATATCAAATGCAAGGATTATTATTAATAATATTATTATCTTGCTTGCATGTGTTTCCTGTACAGATCCATATTTTTCATCTGAATATTCATTTATATACTATAAAGAATAAGCAATACTTGGAAATGATTAGAAGACAGAATTTTTTTTTGAAGTGTTTCAGCTAAAAGGAAAGTTTACCTGTTATATAATTATGTCTGAGTACTGAAGTATTTGAAGTCCCTTGGAAATATCCAAATATTTTATTCTGTCTTCATTGTGTTAGTGCTTCCGATGCATTGGCAAACAGCATTATTTAAATCACTTCTTGAAGCTGGTGACCGTAAACTGAGTGACCTATTTTATTTCAAGAGCAATGAGTGGGTACATGTAACAGCTAGGAAATAATTGTACTGATTGTTCAGAATGTCTAATTGTGAGGGGAAAGCTTGAGCAATTTTACTGTCAACAAAACCCTTCAATGAAATCATTTTTACTCCAGTCTTTACTGACAGAATGTAATCCACAGTACGTTATTGAGAATAACTGCTGTGCTAAATCTATTTTGGCTGATTTATATCCGACCCAATGTTCAATTGTTTGGCAGACTTACAATTAATATATCACATTCTTTATATATTAAAAAAAAGCTTGTATTTGATAGAGTGCCTATAGTGTGTGTATGTCTGCAAGAATATGTATATAGCCTGACTCTAGGTGTCAGCATGGCACAGTTGGTAGCACTCTCACCTCAGAAGGTTATGGGTTTCAAGCCTCATGTTGGTTATTTTGAGCCTATAGTTTCTAGGCTGACATTCAAATGCAGTGCTGGGGAAGCTGAGAGGTGCTGTTGTGCTGTGCTTTAAAATCAAGGTTGCATCTGCCTGTTCAGGTGGACATTAAAAATCCCATGACGCTTTGAAAAGAGAAGGGAATTTCTACCAGTGTCCAAGTCAGTAATCCTCTAGTTAAAATTGGTCATTCACTTGATTTGGGACATTATTATGTGGAGTCCTGTAGCTTAATGGTTAGAGCACTTGCCTCGCAAGCGAGAGGACCTGGGTTCGATTCCTAGGTAGGGCGAAACATTGGAGAAGTGTTCTTACTCCACACACCTCTGTTTACCTAGCAGTAAGTAGGAACCCAATTGTTAGTCAAATGGCGGATTGCTTTTCCAGGGCAAAAATCCCTTCAAAAAATAAATAATAATTTGATCACTCAATCCACAGTTGTGGGACACTGCTGTGCTCAATTGACTGCTGCGTTTCGCCCACAAAATATAGTCAATTCACTTTACAGTATATTCTGTGAAGCGCTTTGAGACGTCTCGAAAATGTGATAAGGCACTACATCAAATGCAAGGATTATTATTATTATTTGCAAATTGGCTGACAAATTTGTCTACAAATAGACACTACACGTTACAGTAAAGAGCTTTGAGAAGTTTCAACCATACGATGACAACGAGCAGCAGCAACTGCAAGGATTATTATCATCTGATATTGCACATGCATGTATGGTTGTGCTTTGTGCATGTGTGGTTGCTTGATCGTACCAGTGCGTGCTTGTCCTTGTGTGAAGCATGTGTGTGCGTGTGTATGCACTTGTGTCTATGTGAACACGCTGCAGGTACAACTCTCTCTTCACACAGGGGCTGTGCAACAAGCAACACGCCCATTGGGGGCCGTCCTCTCTCAAAGCTCCTCAGCTGCAGTGGTAGGAAGCCACAGTGGGTTGAGGAGCTGACGGCAGTGAGCCCCCGCAGTGGAGATCCCCCTGACACAAGCGTATCCACAAGGCACCACAGAGGAATCTGCAGCAAAGCAGCTTCCCTTAGCTCCTCCTATGGTGGAAACGCCAGGGCACCAGCTCTACTGGCTTCCTAGAAAGCTCCCCAGCAGCTATGCAAATCTTTATTGATTAGACGAGGCGAAAAAGCACCTTTTTTTTTGTTGCGCAAATACATGATAAAACCTCATTTCACGATTCTCAAAAGTAACACAAACCAGTGGTATAAAGTATGCACTCCACAGGAACTTACAACTAAACGTTTGATTTTCCCTTCTGCTATGGTTTTAACATCTACAGTAATTGTATGTTAGGAGAACCAACCACCAAGCTTTACTCGCAGCTGCGTAAAGCTTTGTGAGCAGTTTTGAGCACTGTGGGCTGGTTAGGTTCAGTTACATTATTATTAGACTATCTCCTTGTGAGAACAAGTGCAGAACTGATGGTACAGGGCAGACTTTGGGGAAGAAATGTCACCCGATCTAAATTCACTCTCATTTTCTCAGCATTTCAGAGCAGCAAGAATTTGGCAATTAGACTTAAAAGAGTCTTCATTTTGAAGCAATTTTTGGTGAGCTTCTTTTAAGACTACAGAAAACTGGCTTCAAAGTTAAGACTGAATTGGACAATTTGCCAAATTCTGGAGACTCTGATAAGCTTCCAAATAGAGTAAATCTAGACCCAGGTGGAATTTCTTCCCCTTTATAATAATAATAATCCTTGCATTTGAGGTGTCTCAAATTTATTTATGTCTGGTTGTATGCAGTATAAGTGACCAGTCTACAAGCATCTTTAAGATGATCACATATACAGTACTTCAATTATTTTCTGCACCTTCACCTCCATGCTGGATTAGGGTTCTACAGGTGCATATCCAGCACCCAAAGTGGCAAAGGAGCAAACAATGAGTCTTGGCAAGGCCATGTAACCATCTGATGGAGGAGAATTACGGTATGTCCTAGTTTGACATCCAGACATCTGCTCCCCAGCAGGGTATTCGACATCAGTGGGGATGAGAACTAAGATTGATTTCTCTCCTCACGCCTCCCTTCACAAACTTCAGTCACTGTGTTGAATTCCAACTTCCCTATCAGTTCCCAAACCCCTCCAATAGGTATACACAGCCATCAACAAATGTCAAAGTACATGAGTATTTTAATCTTTTATCTTTTATTTACCTAAAGGTGGTGGTGTGGGGGGAGGATTTCTATAGCTGATTGATATAAAAAAACATCTATTGTTCATAGTGTAAGTTGTATTATGAATGACTATTTACATTTGAAATAGATGCTTAAACCAGTCTGGCTCAGTTGGTAGCATTCTCACATCAATCTGAATGTTGTGGATTCAAGCTCCACGTCAGTCTATGCTGACACTTCAATCAATGATGGTGTGCTATATTGTTATATTGTCTCATCCTTTGGAAGAGTCTTTAAACCGAGGTCCCATCTGCTTGTCCAGGTTATTTATTGAAGATACCATGGCACTATTGAAAAAAGAAGGGAATTTCTCCCAGTATACCGGACCAGAATTCCTCAAAATAATGGAATTGTTCACTTGCTCCACAGCTGTTTGTGGGACATTGCTGTGCACAAATTGGCTACTGCATTTGTCCATAAAAATACAGAGTCCTGCATATTCTTTACATTATATCCTGTGAAGCTCTTTGAGACACCACAATGACGTGATAAGGTGCTGTACAAAATGCAAGTGTTATATTATTGTTTTCTATTGTGAATAAAGTTGAGCTTGTAATTCCCCACCACTACACACACTATGCTAAGAACTATTATATTTTCAGCATTGATAGAAATAGAAAGCTAGACTTAAAAAGTTCTCTCTCATATTGCTCTGGGGAGAAAAAGAGACCCAAGTCCCTCACATGTACTGAAGTACATGGTCAGATTATTTTATAACAGCTTCTGCCATTTTTAATGGTTAAAAGAAGCTGATGGGATATCCAGTTCTTAAAACACAAATGATATGGCTGAATGAGCTATTAATATTTAACTTTTAAACTAGACCTTTGTTTATTTCTCCCTATCAAATGATTCTCAATGTGTATTCAAAGAAATATGTGTTATTGTATCTATTTAGGAGGGTTGTTTATTTTCTGTATTTGAAAATTAGTTACAAAGTATTGACTCATAATGCATTTTTCTTGATACCCTGGGAATGTAAGTGCAACCCTAACCAGTCCCTACATAATTCCAATTCTCGCTCTCTCCCTCCTTCCGTTCCTTGCTCCGTTCCTCCCTCCCTCCCTCAAGACATATCCCAAAACATTCTTCTTTTAACCATGCTTTGGTTAATTTTTCACCTCCTCACCCCAGGCCCCCTCATCCTCCTGACATGAGGGGTGCTGTACAAATGTAAACCATACTGCATTGTAATGGTAATAATGTTCAGGTATTTGCAAATACTTTTTTTTTGAAAAATATTTTACTTTAAAAGTTATTAAAATTATTGCATACAACATTCCATTTTTACAAAGAGTTGAGACAATGCTTAATTTCACATCTGTATTTGTACAGTACAAATCAGAGTTTTGAACCCATTTACTTATAAAGGTATTTTACAGCAAAATATTTTCAACCATTAAAGCTTTAGTTCTCAGAATTTACAAACAGGACAAATTTAAATCAACTGCTATTTTAAAATAGAACAGAAGGAAAAAATATACAGTATTAAAATATATAATTTATAATACACACAATATTAAATAGGTAATTTATATACGATCTAAAATTTTAAATAGAAGGAAAAAACACAATATTAAAATATGTAAACCACAAAAACAAGCAAACACACTGAATTTTTCTTCTGTTTAAAACAAATCGTCTCTATCAAAGGTCATACTTTTTTGGTGGTAGCACGAATGAATTGTATTATTGCTCATTTCTGGGATTTTTCCCCCAGAAGCTGTCTCTTCGCATCTGAGCACGTTCAAGAACTTGAGAAGCTAGTGTACTGGAAGCTGCAGATCGGGCAGATATCTGTGACAATCGATCATCTTCTGAAAGAATGAAAATAAAAAAAGCATTGTAAAAACTATTTTAAAGGGATTAAATCATGTTAAGAGATTTTTAAAACCTCTCGCACTATAAATCTACTTACAATATTACTTTAGACAAATCCCTCCAGGTCCCAGATTCTATTCAACTATCAGCTTAAGGTGGTGTATCACACTTTTATTAAACTATAATGATTAGCAATGGGTGAATGTGGATTAGAATTGGGATCCAAAGCACACTTAATCAATTCAGCACAGTTGGGAGTCTTTCAAGTGAAAGAACATACAAGTGAAATGTTGCACATTTGTGTACGATACCACTTATAATTGTGAACTGTGCACTTTACAATTCTGTACAATAGAATTCTGTTTATAAGGAATCTAATGCAAAAAGACACATTTCTTCAAAAATGTTTCCATATATTGAAATATGTATTGCTCCCCGGAAACTAAACATCCCAGACATATTGTAGTGTGACTGCAATAGTATTCAAATATTTATTTTATAAATATGTGTTGATTATAATTGAGCTGTTTTTTGTGCAGCGAAAAAAAATTGATGTGAGATCATCCAACACTGATTGGCTTTCAAGATGAGGCAGTTGTTGAAGACTGATCAAGTGCATTTAGATTCAGAAATGAATTTTTCTTTAGCAAAAAGATTGTGAGATGAATTGGAAAACAGGACAAGTTTGGAAGAAGAAGGCCCCACTTTGATCTCATGCTTTCAGATACAAATCTTATATCCTCCTGTTCCAACTTCAAGTTGTTTCTGGGATAAATCCAATGTCCTGGCCTCAACGACACTTCCTGATAACCTGACGCAGCTGTTGATTACCTTCTGCATAAAAAATATATCCTGGTGTCTTAAATTTGCCCCCATATCACGGAACCCTCTTGATCTCAAAGTGTTGGGAACCAAAGTGGCAGCAGCACTGCTGTACACAAGTCACAATTGAATTGTGTAAGCCCAAATACTGTAATGACAAATTATAAAAAACAATTTTTTTTAAACACAGAGGATAATCAATCCCTGGACGAAGTTTCCAGGATATGTGGTAGGAGACCGGATACTGGACTAATTTAAGAAGCAGCTTGATGCCGTATTGGGAGGATGGGTGATCTGGAGGGATGAGATCTGATGGGCCAAAGTGCTTTCTGTATGCAGATGAGTTTTGTGATCTCGTGAAGAAATGCTGAAAAGTGTAGAAGTACCATCAGCAGCAGCAGCTGAGTCTGTTGATTGCATCCTCAGAATACTGGACCTTGGTCCTCCAGTGTTGCCTTGAATTGTAGTTAAAATTGAGATTAAATTCAAAGTGTGGAAGCACAAGGTTTTAAAATAAACAAATGCGTGTGCGTATATACACGTTTCATCTCATTACAATTTTTTTAAAACATGAGTAGTATAAGTAATAATGGGATGCAAGATCAATAACAAGACACTCCCCACCAACCAACTCTCCTGACACTCCTATACACATCTCCTGAAGTAAGGAAACTTATCTAAGGTTTCACCATGCTGGAATTGAACCCAGGTCTCTCGTTTGCGAGGTGAATGCTCTAACCACTGAGCTACAGGACTCCTATGTCTGCTAATACCTGTATTCTGGCAACTAGCTATAATCAGTCACAAAATAAATATAAATAACCTCCTTTAAGCACACATGCACCGTACATATAAACACACACACACAGAACACTCACATTTCAGATCAAATTCTGTAAGTAAAAGCCTAAGATTATTGGAGGAAACACCTTCATGGAATGAAACAACATTCAAGGTTTGAGATCCAAATTCCTAAAAATAAAAACCTTTAAATAATTCCTATATAATGGGTTATTCCATTGCTTTTCCATTTTTATTTCATTAACGTTTTTTTTATGAAAAGTGATTGTAATGTGATAAACCATAATTATTTTACTCAGCTCAGAGTGAGGATACAATCACACGCGACAGCTACACGCAGTTTACTATCGACTGCCACCAAAGTCTACCCACACTTGGTTACTATTAGGGGGCCCAATCTGTGATATTCAAATCAACTTGTCCATCCTCAGCTCATTGATTCAGAGTATACAGTTACCTAATGTTAGCAATTATTTAGAACATAAAAATTGCTTTGCGAAAGAAGACCACTTTCCACCATCCTGGCAGTCGCATGCACACGTCATGTCCCAAACTATATACTGCAATTTACTATAACTATTTCAGTTATTTTTACCATTATGCTGGAATTCTGGATTTCTCAGTGTGCCTTGTATCCGGTGCAGGTAGCCCTTCTCTGGTGATGCAGGCACTGAAGCAGATTTCTCATCAAAAGTACAGTCTGGCTTTAACAACGCCAGAACAGAAGGTATTGTCTTTAGACAACCTGGAGTATTGGGAATCCAACATTCCTCCCTCAGGGGAATGGGATCAGGGGTCCTTATGCCAGCTGCTGGTGACTGCTGTAATGATTCCGTCTAAGGGTAACACAGAAACACCAGTTTTTAAAATGCACTTTCAAAGCCTTTCAGTAAAGCACAATTTATTAAGAAAATAATATTTGGATTAAAATGGAGATATGCATCTGATCCAGTTTGTTGCAGTGTGGCAAACTATCGCTGCTTTGCTCTAAATAGATTTTTAATCAGCCTTTTTCTAAATTAAAAACCTATTACATGTATACAGTACTCAAAATGTGTAACTTTCATTGCCTGTGTCGTTGCAACCTTTTTTTAAGCTTAATTATAATACATAAATAATTGTGTAATTCTTTTACTTGTCCAGTGCCATAGATTTTTATTAACAGGTCAGGTTTTTGAATTTTCTGTACCTTTGTTAACTTCTTCTTTGGAGATCCTGAAGAGAAACACCTGTAGGGTGAATATGATTTTCCCAATGGAGCCTGGTTTCTTTTACGATGGGGGGATGGTGATCTGATCTTATATGGAGAAACTAAAACTGCACCCCCTGGTTAGAGACAAAATGTGTTGTTATCAAGAATTACATGCTTTACGGGCATCCAGGATATGGTCTCAAATGTTCCCACTGTAAACACAAACCTACAGAGCGTTGTTAAGATGATGAGCTGATTGAATCACTTATTGTTTGTGACTCACATATAAAAAATGTTTGGTTGCCTTAACGTAAACCTTCAGAGAAGGTATTTCACCGGAGAGGGGTCAAAGTAGAGAAATAAGGATGAGTTAGGGACTGGAGCTTTGAGTTATGGGGCAGACCAGCAGAAATTAACTTGTTTTTAATTGAAAAAGATTAAGGAGCATTTGATCCAGATCTTTAAACTGGTATGTGGCATAAATTTGGGATTACCCTCAAATACATGAATTTAACAATAACAATAAAGTAATTCCATTTGAAGTGCCACTATCTCCATTGGACACCAATATAATTTGAATTAAATTAGGAAATGCTCATACCAACAGCTGGAGTGGTCAGATCATGGTGAGTTCGACGAGGTGCAACCATTGTCTTCAGCTTTGGTGTAGGCAGTCGTCCACCTACTTCAGATCCAAGCTCAGAAGTTTCATTTGAGTCTAAATTTGCTGTTGACAGATTTGCCTCATCTATCGGGTCCTCTTTTCTAGAAAATAATGGAGTTCTTATTGGACTAGATTTAATGCAGTACCGATTTTATACAATGCTACACTTAAAGACATCTCTATGCCTTCGATTGACATAACAAGCAAGTTGAACAACTAAATTTTCCAGCAATGTTTCATATCGAGCAAGCCAGATTTACATTCAACATAGTATGCTTCACATACATTTATTGAAACAGAAGGCAGGAATACAGTTAATGTGAACTGATTTATTTAAATAAATAAACCAAATTAAGCAAAGTGAGCAGACTTTAGTGCAACAGGCCAATTTATTCTGCAAATTCTGCATTAGCTACAGAATAACTGCAACTGGTGCAACTTCTAACTGGACTTTCTGAAACATCAACAGGCACTGCGCTTGTAGCAAAACTGAGACACAAGAATCCATATAGCATGTAAAAGAAACATGAAGCGTCATTTTCTTTGCGGCTTTTCTGCCCTAACCCCTTCCTCTAGGCTGCTGGTACATTTCGTGGATGCTAGCCAGCATGCAAATCTCACTCAAGTATGCATTCTTCGCATTTAAGTTTAGATGTATTTGACTGTGGGCACAACAGTTGAGCCTGATCCAGTCCTCACCCCCAAATCCTTACATTTAAATGTCACGGTACGTGTCACTGGATAGAAATCAAGAGGAAAACCTCTGACCATATTTTTTTTACCTCCCTCCCATGCCTAGAGGAGTGAAAGTTAGTCATAGTGCTAACACTGCTACCTTTACTGAGATAATTATTATATAATAATCCTTCTAGTTGAAACAGAGCCTTATCAATTTGTCGAAATGTCTCAAAGCGCTTGACAGGATCTTATTGCAAAGTGGAGTGATTACGTATTTTGTAGGCGAACACAGCAGCCGATTTGCACACAGATAAACATGAAGAAAATAATCAATTTTATCTGGGGTATGTCAGAGGGGAATAGACTGTTGGCCAGGATAGCGGGAGAAACATCCTTCACTTTTCAAATAAGATCTTTAAAGTCCACCTGAATAGGCAGGCAAAACCTTGGTTTCACATTTCATACAAAAAACAGCAACCCCAACAAATGCATCACACTCCCAGCACTGTGTTGGTGTTGTCAACCTGGACTGCAAGTTCAAAGTCCCAACATGAGGCTTCATCTCACAATCTTTTAACTGAGAGGCAAGAGTGCTACTAACTGAGCCAGCCAGGCTGATAAGGATGTGGTGGTTCCGAACAGAATAGGAATGAAACCCGTAACCTTCTACATCCGCACAGATCAGTTTCACAAGACTTAACAAATGAGTGAATGGGGCTCCAGCCAAATTCATTGCAAAATGTAGATCTTAATTCGATACTTTGTCTACCACCCTTTGCCCTAAGCTGAAGACAGCTCTAAAGAGCATTTAATGATTACCTTTTAGAAACGGCTCCCACTTCCTCTGCATTTCCCAGCTCTTTCTCAACACCATCACTTTCTTCCTGGTCACTTTCTGGCAGGTCTCTTCCAGGTGCTGTCTCTCCTTCCTCATCATTCCAGGCCAATCTCTGCCTGACTGGAAAAGTCGGAACATTTGATATACCATTTTTGCCTGTATCATCAAATTTTGGCGGGTTCTGTGAGGGTGCAGCATTTTCCACTGCTGACTCAGAGTGAGACCGCTGTTGCTTTGGTCTGGGAATCTTCGGAGTTTCTCTTGCTCTGTGAATGTAAAAAGGCATTTTGTGTAATCAAGATTTTTTTTAAAAAAACACCCAATACAAACGTGGACCTTGAATCTTGAATCAATTATACCTTTCCAGTGGTGGCAAAATGATTTCGATTTCTAGTTAATGGTAAGGTTTCGAAAGGGAAGGAAAATAAATGATTTTCAGAACAATCGTCTACTACATGGCACCATTTTTAAAAAGGCAGGTTTTTTGTTTGCTGAAATCTCAGTTTACAGAGATGTGCTTGAACATCCAGGTTCAGAATCCCACCACCATAGTTTGGTTCAGCTGATCATTCAGAAATTGGCATGCTTATAAAGGGTTCTAGCATAGGTTAAACTTTTCTAACTACACCAGCAATGATATTTGACCTGAAATGTGGTCATTTTGGCAACAGAACCCAGGAATACCCCCCATTATAGTGATTGATGAAAATGATCATTCAGTTAAACACCCCACCATGGTGGTGTTTTTTTTTACTAAGGTGATAAAAATACAATGATCACCAACCAACTGAGATACTCAACATATTTCCATCAATTAGTATAGTGCATCAATAGAAAAATAAACCTTTTGAGAAATGAGACACTGTGCTGGTTAACTGAAGCTTGCACAGTGTTGTTTTAATTCTAACCTTATGCAGGTTAATTGCCCATTAATCCATTACCTCTCAAGATCCAAAGCTCTGACACTGTCACAGACAGATTCTTCACTGGTAGAAGTGGAGGACAACTCCCACAACTTGTTTTCTGGCGACAGAATCTGGCTGAGATGGTCCCGGGAGAAGTGAGTGCCCAATGCTCTCCTCTTGTACACTTCAGCTTTCTCTCGAAGTTCTTTTATCTGTGATACCAGAGCAGGAGAAAACATTAATTCTGTTTTTATATTCCCTCTCAATTTGAAGTAGTTCGCTGCTTGTGTAATAATAGCGATATGTACACATTTGTAAAGTCTAGAGCTGGAAAAACTAGAACTTTTAGCCACATAAATTGCCAGTACTAATGAAGCAAATAAAGGCAGAAGGGCCTTTGCTAGTTACAACTGCATCCTTTTTTTCTAATTAAAACAGTTCTCTTGCTCACTAAATTGAATTGTTAAAAGCAAAACAACATGAGCAGCAAATTTAACAAAAAAGGTCGTCAAAAACCAACCTCAGCATACCATGGGAAACTTAGTTTGCTTTCAGTACCCTACAGAGAAAAAGGTAGAGTTAGGTTTTAAATAGTTTGGTTTTGAAAAGGAAAAGAGGTCAATTTTAACTTTAACTAAATTTATAATATACACCAACTAGGAGGTACAGTACAATAGTGCACTAGTGCCCTCTGGCGATCATTTGTTAAAATAAATTGAGGTGAAATCAAATCTCCATCTGACCAGATGTATTTCTAGTAACATCAATTATTCTCATCAATAGAAGAGACTTGGCAAATTAATAATCTTACCAAAGGCATAGTGAATTCTATGCTACATACACTTAAGATTGGTACCAGTGCGAGAAACAAACGTTTAACGGTCAGTAATGCTTTAACTCTCCTCCACGCACCTCTTCAGCCACAAACGAACGTTTTGCTTTCCAAGCTCCTTCCCTGTACTGATACTGATCAGGAGACAAATAGTTGGTCCTATATTCGGACTTGATTTTCCTGGAAAAGTATGAACAGTTACATGAGTGACCATTTATGGAAAATTGATATTTGTAATGGAAGCAAAATATCACAATACTGGTAACGCAGAATTTTTTTTATAAAGTGTGGTGTTGCATACCCATGGCCTTTGTGTGGGAATGGAGGCTTATGTGGATTCTGTTGTTTTAGAAGCTGCTCACTCTCTTGTTCTTTTATTCTTGCTCCTACTTGTTTGGAAGAGGAAGGCGTTTGCTTTAAAGAGTAAAAATTCTGAGTTAGAAGCAGCCCACACCCAAGGTTCACAGAATATTAGGTATCTTACTTTATGTTGCAATATATCATATAATAATAATCCTTGCAGTTTGATACAGCATCTTATCACATTGTCAAGACACCTCAAAGCACTTCACAGAATATATCAGAAAGTGAATTGACTGTATATTCTGTGGGCAAAATATAGCAGCCAATTGCACACGGCAGTGTCCCACAAACAGTGGTGGATTGAGTGACCAAATTATTATTTTTTTTGATTATTCATTTCATAATTTGGAAAGCTTGTAGATTGTGAATGATGAAGGTGAGGAATACACATTATTATTATTTTTGAAAGGATTATTGCCCCTGGAAAGCGATTCGCCAATCGATTAACAACAGGGTTCCTACTTACTGCTCGGTAAACAGAGCCGTGTGGAGTAAGGAAACATCTAAGGTTTCGCCCTGCTCGGGAATCGAACCCTCATCCTCTCGCTTGCAAGGCGAGTCCTCTAACCAATGTGCCACAGGACTCCATGTAATGGTAAAGTCCTCTAATAATTTTAAAAGAAAAAGCTTAGAAAAATTGAAATATTTCCTGTAAAAATGATTGGAATTCAATGTTGAAGAACAACAACCACAGAAGCATTTAAAATAAATTTTTGCTCAGCGAATATATTAAATGTATTCAATCTCACCTTGGGCACGTTTACAGGGAATACAACAACAACCTCCATTCATGTATTCATTTTCATATAAAACAAAGATGGCCAAGCCATGGCTCCCAAACAGTCACACTAGTCTAGGTAAGTCCGTACTCAATCGGTAGTGTGTTTCCAGGTTTTTCTTGATTGAATATTTCTTATGATATGAATATATCATATGATTTATGATATAACGAAGAAAATGTATTTTGTTGGTTGGCCAAATCCCACATGAAAGAATTTCACCAATATCAACAGTCCATATTGTTGGCACATTTGGTGTGGGGCATTACTGTGCTTTGGTTCACAACATACAGTGTCATAGATCCAGAGCGCTGGTTCATGCTTGCAGTTCGTTTCCACCCAACGAACTGCCAAGTTCAATTTTTTTTATTTTTTTGGGGGGGGTCAGCTGGGTGTCTGACACTCGCAGAAACCCATCACCTTCCAACAAAAGGTGCATTAATATGAAGGGAGAGATTAAGGAAAGTCGGGGTATTCTGTATCTAAAACCAGTTACAAAGGTTCACGATCAGGTTTCTTGCCCACCCTCTCAGCTGGGAAATTCTCCTCATATTCCTTTGCCAATGCCACTCATGAGCTTCTTGGTTTGGTATATCCTTGTTTAACTTTAATAAACTATTACTTTGAGAAATAACGGGTGTGTTGTGAGAGGATTTCAATAGCCGACATGCAAGATCCCGTTATATACCCTGAAAATGCATTTAATATTTATTTTCTATTACTTTGATGGAAAGGATACTCAATTAGGAAGAGGAAGAATAAAGTTTCCCTTTCTACAAAGTCTTTACGCAAACATGGTCCTTTAGGAAGAGGTGTGACCTCAAACGGACTTAAATATTCCATTTCTCTGCCTTCATTCAGAGGCAGCACATGCATAAGATGCATAGTAATAATATAATAATAATCCTTGCATTTGGTATAGGGCCTTGTCACAATGTCGGGACATCTCAAAGCACTCCACAGATTATACTGTAATCTGTATGATTGACTGTATTTTGTGGGCGAAACACGGCAGCCAATTGCACACAGCAGTGTCCCACAAACAGTCATGGATTGAGTGACCAAATTCTTCTTATTTTTTTTGAAGGGATTATTACCCCCGGAAAAGCGATCCGCCAATCGACTCACAACCTGGTTCCTACTTACTGCTAGGTAAATAGAGGCGTGTGGGTGGAGTAAGGAAATTTGCCTAAATTCCTGCCTGGGAATTGAACCCTGGTCCTCTCGTTTGCGAGGCGAGCGCTCCAACCACGACACTGTGGGACTCAATACCAGTCCTGGTTCACCGAGTTCGCTAGTGGAGAGGGGGCTGAAGGCAGCGATAGAACTGGGCTAGTGATGGTTGGGGTGGGGTTGGTGGGAGATGGAGAGAGAGAGAGAGAGAGAGAGAGAGAAACAGTTTCAGTACTTGAACGAAAGTACCAGATACATACCAACGGTATCAGATTACCTTTGGTGGAGAATCATTTTCAGGTTCAAAGAATAAAGCTTCCTTTTCTTCAAAGTCTTTACGGAAACGTGGTCCTTTAGGTAGAGGCGTGCCCTGAAACTGACTTGAATATTCAGTTTCTCTGCAAACTTTGCCTGATTTAAATGGAGGAATTTCCTGATTTCTGTTGTGAATAACCTAGTAACAGAGAGATGAAAACAATATTTCTTACCATTGTATAAATGAAAATCAAACTAATGACATCAACTTTTCTTGCAGTACCTTACGATCTCACCTACAAACAGACAGTCACAACATTTCACTGTGAAAACATATGAAGCTCTTTGAGACGTCTCAATGACATGTTAAGGTGCTGTATCAAATAGAAGGATTATTTTCATTGTTTCAAATCCAGTATTTAAGCGCTCTGAGACGTACCCTGCATGGGGGGTACTATATTAAGGGCAAGTTGCTGTTGTTGTAGTACTTACCTGCTAAAATGTAAATTTGAATGATCCTGATAGAGTACGATGCCCATTAAACTAAAGCCGATTACTGCCACAAGTATTGAACTTGGTTCAATTGCCAACTAGGATGATTGACAAGGAGCAATTGAATATTGAATGTGATTCTGGAAATTTCAAAGACATTTCCCTTAATGAATTCATTCTGTGTGGTTCATTTCTTCTGAACTCTGACAAAGAAGATTTTTCAAGTCAATGGCAAAATAAATCATCATAATTGAATTTAAACTTTAATACAGCATTATCCCTCAAACAGATAACTCTACATTTCTTAAATAAGTGCATTCCTTAGTCTGTTGAGGTTGGCACAAATAGTGCAGCTCTATGAATAGCAAGGTTTCCAGTATAAATTTAAAGACTTTTTAAAAAAAACTTTACTTCACTATCACACGTGATGGTTCAGTGACTGAGTGAATCAGGGGTTCAAGACCCTCATTGTAAAAATATTAAGAAAATAAACATTTCCCTCAGAAGGAATAAAGATTTGTTAAAAATCACTGCTGCTCTACATATTTAAAATGTTGTGTCAATCAGTGGTGAATTTCTTAGGTCCATTTTAGGTCTCAGAATTGTGAGATGCGCATGGTTTAGTCGAATTAATTAACTACACGGCGCTTTGAAACAGTAAATGATGACCAATACCTGATCTGCGACCAGTAAGGGGGAATTTTCCATCTGCGTTTTCCAACTGAACTGCCTTTGATACTCAGAGCTTCTTGCTAGATTTTTCCGTGGTGCAGTCTTCAATCCTGATTTTTTCTGAAGGACCACGCTAACCTATCATTACAGGAATAGCAGCTTTTACCAAGACATGAGCTATGTACGCCAGCAGCAGGTCTATAAACAGCAATGAGACTATTCACTCCTAAACACTGGAAACGCCCTGTAATCAATGATCTGAGAAGGCAACAATTGCGCAGCCGTGTGTAAGATTCAGCAGAAAATGCAGGAAAGGGAAATACACAGAAGAAACAAAGGCTGAAGATGCAAGAAAGCATGAAACCAGAGAAGATTCAATGAAAAAAAATCAGAGCAAGTGAAAAATTCGGAAGTACAGAAAGAGTGACATTTGAGCTTGGGGAATATGCAGAGACTGAGATGATAGGAGGACAAAAGGAAACGAGGGAATGAATATCACCAAATACCTTGTCTCTAGTGACATGAGGCAGGGAACATCCTAGGTTTTATTTTACATTCCCAATTACTTATCAAAAAACCCAATGGAGTAAACGCACAGAATTAAACATTACATTTATCTTCAAATTTGCAATAATACCAACTTGAGACAGAGCATATAATTCAGGCCCAAACCAAAAATGTTAATGCTCAGTATTGCTCAGAACTGCCCCCTCTTGGGCGTCCTGGGTGCCAAAATGTTTACTAATAACGTAGCCTGTAACTTTGTGCCACTTACCATTGTTTACATCCACCTAAAAAACAGTCACTACACTTTACAATAAAGTCCTGTAGAGTTGCTTCGAGGCGTCCTCCCGACGCAAAGATCATGAACCGCAAAGATTAAGTGTAATTTGTTTAGCTGGAAGACGCTTGTTTCAAAATGTAACCGATTTGGAATCCTTGCTCCGGCTACGAGCTAAGAATTAAAGAGGCAAACTCCTCATTAAAGAGGCTTTATTTTGGCAATTTTTTTTATGTGTGTGTGTGTGGGTGCATGGCAAGGAGGGGAGAGTGGGGGAGGGGATGGGAGAGGAAGGAAGAGGAAGCAGCTTTCCATCATTTATAATTTCAGTTATTATCACCGGGCAAATGGTTATCGCTGTATTGGGCATTTGTAAACAAAAACTAATTGTCCAATGCATTTTTTTTTGCTTCTGAAAGAGTGGGATTAATTCTGGAATCGATTTCCAGTTCGGAGACTCCAGTTCCATTTCCAGTTCCTTCATATTTTGGTGGCAACAAATGGCCTTCAGTCCACTGCCTACTGGCTTACAAATGACGTCAGTTGCTCGAGATCCTTATTAGGTTCAGATTGCCCACATGCAAAACAACTATAGTTACCTCAATAGTTACTGGTAGTATTAGAATTAACCATCAATGGACTAAAAGATTATAATAAATAATAATAATCCTAACATTTGGTATAGCTCCTCACAGGATATACTGGAAAGTCCAGTGACTGTGTGTTTTGTGGATCAAGATTTTCAAAAAAGACATGCAGCCTATGTTAAAAGTTCCGAGAGTTGAGAGCTCAAGGTAAACAAAACTGTTCAAGTATCACAGGGCTAATTCTTGTGGAACACAGACCTGAGCAGTTTCATTTGATGCTCAGTAATCTGAAGCTTTCACTAGAACTAGGTGAAGTCCACAGACGGTTCATTTCTGTATTATTAATAACAATTCAGATGAGAAGACCAATAAGAATAAGAATAATCCTTGCATTTGATATACAACAACAACAACAACAAGATTCCATTTATAGAGCGCCTTTCACGTCAGGAGGACGTCCCAAGGCGCTGCACAGTTGGGTCATGACCCGAGCAGGGGGGAAATGGTCAGGGTGAGGGGAGGGAAGGGAGGGAGAGAGGAGGGGGAAATGGTCAGGGTGAGGGGAGGGAAGGGAGGGAGCGAGGAGGAGGAAGAGAGTCGAGAGGGGAGCTGAAGGCACGGTCAAAGAGAAAGGTTTTGAGACCGGCCTTGAAGGAGGAAAGGGAGGAAGCAAGGCGAAGGCACTGGGGGATGGAGTTCCAGAGCCTCGGGGCTGAGAGGCTGAAGGCCCGACCACCGATAGTAGGGCGGTTGGGGCGGGGGACGTGGAGCAGACCGGAGCCAGAGGAACGGAGGGTACGGGCAGGTAGGTAGGGGGATAGTAGGTTGGAGAGGTAGGAGGGAGCAAGGCCGTGAATGGCCTTGTAGGTGAGGATGAGGATCTTGAAATCAATCCTCTGGGGGATGGGGAGCCAGTGGAGGCGAGCGAGGGTGGGAGTGATGTGGTCCCGAAGCCTGGTGCGGGACAGTACACGAGCTGCAGAGTTCTGAATGACCTGCAGCTTGTGGAGGGAGGTGGCGGGAAGGCCGGCGAGGAGAGAGTTCCCATAGTCCAGCCTTGAGGTGACAAAGGCGTGAACCAGGGTTTCAGCAGCGTGAGGGGTGAGGTAGTGCCGTAATCTGGCGATATTCCGGAGGTGATGGAAGGCGGTGCCAGTTGTGGTGCGGATGTGAGGGAGAAAGGACAGCTCAGGGTCGAACAAAACGCCGAGGTTCCTGACTGGCTTTGAGAGGTGGAGAGTGCAGCCTTGGATGCTGATGGTGTCAGCGCCTGAGGTGCGGAGGCGCTGACGTGAGCCAATCAGGAGGGCCTCGGTTTTTTGCACGTTGAGCTGAAGAAAGTTGTCTCTCGTCCAGGACTCGATGTCGGACAGGCAGGCTGTCAGGACATCGGTGGTCGTGGAGTTGAGAGTAGAGGAGGAAAGGTAGAGTTGGGTGTCATCCGCATACATGTGGAAGTTAACCCCATGTTTGCGGATGATGTCACCAAGGGGGAGCATATAGAGGGTGAAGAGGAGGGGACCGAGGACAGAGCCCTGAGGGACACCACATGAGACAGTACGGGGGGTGGAGGAGAAGCCATTCGTTGAGACGAAATGAAGACGGTGGGAAAGGTAAGAGCTAAACCATTCAAGGACAGTGCCTTGAAGGTTGAGGTGGGAGGACAAGCGGTGGAGTAGGATAGCGTGGTCGACCGTATCGAATGCTGCCGATAGGTCGAGGAGGACGAGGAGACAGAGGGAGCCCTGGTCACAGATAGTCAGGATATCATTGGTGCCTTATCACATAGTGCCTTATCACATTGTTGCGACGTCTCAAAACGCTTCACAGAATAGATTGTAGTGGATTGACTGTGAATTTTGTGGGTGAAACACATAATAATCATAGTTTCTACTTACACCATTAGCAATTCCCTCATCTGCACCTTCTTTTTTAGGAGGCGTGTTGTTGTCTTTCTTTGATTTCTGAGCCTCTGCAACTTGTGGTTTGTCACCGGCCATTGGGGGTTCTAATGCCGAGTGCAATCGGCAATCCATCGAACGAGACCTGCCAAACCTGAGAGATCTGGGAGCTTCTGGAGTCTTGCAGTCTTCTGCATTCATTCCTTCGCTGAGAACGGATGTCTGGGACTTCACAGGTTGGGATTCTTTGGGTTTGGGCTCTTGAAGATCTTGTCCTGAATTGCTGTTCCAGTCCCACTGAAAAGATTTTGAAACTTGAGGACGGTAGTATGGTACTCGTTTCTTTGAAATAAAACTTGGTTCCCTTGTATTCCCTGAAAAAGTTGGAAAAAGAGTTTCTACAGTTTAGATTAAAGCCCTTTGTTCTTATGCATGCTCGAATGTTTAAGGCTAATTATAATAATACTCTAATTTGACATAGCGCCTTATCACATCATATCAAAGCACTTCACAGAATATACTGTAAAGTTAATTGACTAATTTTGTGGGTGAAAGACAGCGGCCAATTGCACACAGCAGTGTCCTATAAACAGTTATGGAATGAGCGACCAAATTATTGTTTTCCTTGTAAGGGATTATTACCCCCGGAAAAGCGATCCGCCAATCAACTAACAACCGGGTTCCTACTTACAGTTAGGTAAACAGAGGCGTGTGGAGTAAGGAAACACCTAAGGTTTTGCCCGGGAATTGAACAGTCATCCTCTCGCTTATAAGGTGAGTGCTGCAACCACTAAGATACAGGACTACAAGATCTCCCATAAGTCCGGCTAACTGGGGTTTAAGCGTAGCACCACCTGGTGCTGGAAACTGTACCTGCAACATCATGATGATTATCCTTGCATTAGATATAACATCTTATCACGTCAATCAGACGTCTCAAAGCGCTTCACAAAATATACTATAAAGTGCAGTGATTTATTGTGGGCGAACATAGCAGGTAACGTGCATATAACAATTTCCCATGAACAGTAGTTAAGGAAATGACCGATTTTATTTGGCCAGTTCACTAGCAGAAATGTTTTGAATAGTGTCATGGGATCTTTATGTCCACCTGAACAGGCAGATGGACACGAAGTGAACATTGTTATTGAAGACAACCGTGCAGCTAATTTGTGTCACAAACAGCTCACAAATAGCTAATTGATTTGATTATTTTTTTAATAAACACACACAGAATGCCAAATTTGCAATGCAGGTTTTAAATTAAAAGCAAACTGTACTCTGAATAGCTGCTGTCTAACTTGAACTGCTTAACTAAGAAAAACAGTTTGAATGTATTTATGTGATTACAAACAAACAAGAGACTAAACTATTAACATGTGGCTACTGAACCCCATATTAATACATACCCAGCTGTTCTGAAGGCAGACCTGCCCACAGTGCTTTCTGCTCAGGAGAGGGACTGCAGGAACGTGACCTCTTGGAGTCATTCCATTTGAAATTTCGTTTGTATTCACTTAAACCCTAAAAACGTAAATGGAGGCAGCACAACTTAATGCAATCCTCAAAACTCCAATGAAAATGTTTTTTCCCCCCGATCACTGAACAACGCTAACATTAATAATAAATAATCCTTGCATTTGATAAGTGCCTTTCACGTAAGGAGGAAGTCTCAAAGTGCTTCACATGTTATACTGTAAGATGCATTGGCTGTGTATTTTGTAGGAGATGAGCTAAAACTATACAGAAGAAAAAGTGGAAACAAAATGCACAACAGTTCATTCAGCATCTGACAAGTAGAAAGATAGATTGACATTTTGGATATTAACCTTTAAAAGAACAATTACACCAGAAACTGTATTTCTCTTTTAGATGTTAAGTGACTGGCATTTTAGTTTTCATGTTAAACCACGTTGTGTTCAAGAATAATGCTTATATATTATATGGACAGAATAGACATAAAATAGACATTTTAATCTGCGCTATACCTGTTGATTATCGTGATTACTAAAACAAATCTTTAAAAAAAACTTCAAATGCAAATTTTATTTTTATTCTTACCTTAATGAGTGACAAACTGTTCCCACGTGTACGAGATGTAAATACTTCCTATGATCTGTTCTAAAATTGCCTTTCTCCACAACCCTGAAATAGTGCCCTCTTGTCCTGCTACCTTGGTATATATGTGCTCAGTGACTTTAGTGACTGGAAGTGTCTTATTAATGAACATAGTATGTATATATTACAATATATTAATATAAGCAGCTTGAAATCCATTGCCTAGGCATTAAGTATACAAGGCTGTATGATTACATTTTGTGTGTAGCTTTGCTTATATAATTTGGTAAATCAACTGGACATGAAAATGATAGAAATGGAAATAATTGTATTGAAAAGTTCTCAAATGAAAACATTTCCTCAAAAAAAAATGATAATTTGGTCACTCAATCCACGACTGTTTCTGGGACACTGCTGTGCGCAATTGGCTGCAGCATTTTGCTCACAAAAGTGAATTAATTCACTTTACAGTATATTCTGTGAAGTGCTTTGAGATGTTTCGAAGACATGATAAGGCGCTATATCAAATGCAAGGACTATTATTATATACAGTCAGGGAAGGTCAATTCTCAGTGTGTAGGATAAGATGAAGTCGCTGGGATGGTTGTAGGGATGTTGAAATTGCCCTCATCCTGCCTGAACTGAGAAGTACAGGAAAACATCAGTGATGGTACTCTTGATCACCATATATGGTGGAAATGGCTCTATATAGAGGTAAATTGTGACACCACTCCACTCCATAGTTGGACAAATCTGACAATATTCATTGTCCAGCTCAAACAAGAAAGGCATTGGGCCAAGTGCTGGCCGGACAGCATTTGTGACCACAGTAAGGCTATATTGATGGGAAAGGAGAGGGTTTTTTTCACAAAAAAAACTATTACAATTTTAAAAAGGTTAGATATCAAAAGCAACGACCTAAGTGTGTTTCATAATTTCCATGTGCAAAACCCACATCACATTTGGTTCAATGTAATAAAATATGCCAAGGATAAGCATGCTTTTTTTATTTTTAAATGTCTGTTCATTGTCTGTTCATAAATCTGGTTAATTCGGCACTTTTAGTATTTTCTTTTTAACACTGAATTGTAGAATTAATGGTGAAATAGATCATCTCTGTGTGTTTTATTCCAAATAGACATTTTAATCTGCAGTTCATAGACATCCTTGATCCAAGCATAATCCTGATACAAACTGCAGCTGATCCAAACAACATTTCTTATGGAAACTAATGCTTTCATGGCGTGTTTGTGTGGGAGGGTGTGGGTTAGGGGTAAGGGGGGTAACATACATTAACTATATCCTCCATGACACGATCCACTTGCAGGATGCTATATAAGTGCAAGTTGTTGCACAAAGTGCCCTGTCTCTGCCCCTTCACAGCTGGTTTACCAATAAAACGCTGCCGGCTTGCAAACCGCCTGCAACAAACTCCTTCATAACAAAAACAAAAAAACTCATTAACGTGTTGTTGGGCCTATTATTAGACAGGCACAACATGACCTCAATGTATGTACAGTATTACACTGACATTAGTGTATTAAATCCAGATTGGCTGGGGAGCGAAATTACATAACGGTATAGACTCATAGCTATAATCCCACTCAACCTAGACAGGAAGGAATTTTGCAGGATTAAGTATAGTGTTCTCAGCAATGGAATTGAAATCGCAGGATAGTCACTGACAGATGTTTGCAGGTTTTTTTTTGACAGGCACCAGAAATATTCTCCCCATCCCAACTCCTCAACCCCAACACCACTCTGCCGTGAGATCTGTACCTCCTTCTCTGCAGTTTGCACAGTTTAAATTGATAAACGACAATTGCTTTTTTTTAAAAAAGGACATGATGTACAGCGATCACCGCAATCCCCTGCAATCCCCTGCTCTGTCCAACAGCAGAGAGAAGTACGTGATTTAATTTGGAAAACAGAACTTGCAGCAAGTCACCCCACAGACATACAACTACCCCCTCACACACACCAACCCCACCACCCTCCCTCCCTCCACACACACACACACAACTACCCCCCACACACACCAACCCCACCACCCTCCCTCCACACACACACACACAACTACCCCCCACACACACCAACCCCTCCACACACGCACACACACACACAACTACCCCCCACACACACCAACCCCACCACCCTCCCTCCACACATACACACACACACAACTACCCCCCACACACACCAACCCCACCACCCTCCCTCCACACACACACACACACACACACACACACCAACCCCACCACCCTCCCTCCACACACACACACACACACACACACCAACCCCACCACCCTCCCTCCACACACACACACACACACACACAACTACCCCCCACACACACCAACCCCACCACCCTCCCTCCACACACACACACACACACACACAACTACCCCCCACACACACCAACCCCACCACCCTCCCTCCACACACACACCTACCCCCCACTCCACAAACAGAACTGCACCCCCCCCCCCCCCCCACACACACACACACCTCATACACACATACCCCCCCCCCCCTCCACACACACACACACATTGTGTGTGGGGGGTACACAACTACCCTCCCATCCACAACCCCCTACACACACACACCACACACACACACACAACTCACTTTCCATTCACTCATTAAAACCTCGTTGCTTGCAAATCAATTCCCTCCTCCTCCTCCTCCTCGTTATTATTATTATTATTAATATTACAACAAACAATCAATGGATTATTATTATTATTTCTACTACTATAACAATTCCTCTCCCTCCCTAACCCCAGCCCAGCCCACTCCCCGCCCTCCAAAAATAATAATACATAAATTTAAAAAAAGGAAACCTATTTTAAAGCAGAAGAGAATAGAATACCCCTCTCCTCTCCAAAACAAATAATAATAATAATAATAATAATAAAGTCATGCACTGTGCTCACCCTGAAGTGTACGGGCATCCCTGCAGCGGGGGGGGTGGGGTGGGTGGCGGTGGGTGGGGGCGTGGTGGTGGGGGGTTGTGAGGGGGTGGTGAGGGGTGGGTGATGGTGGGGGGTGGGGGTTGGGGGGTGGGGGTGGTGTGGGTAGTGGGGTGGTGGTGGGGGGTGGTGGGTGGTGGTGGTGTGGGGCTGGTGGGGGTGGGGGGTGGGGTGGGTGGGGGGGGGGTGGGTGGGGGGTGGTGAGGGTGGGTGATGGTGGGGGGTGGTGCTGGGTGGGGGGTGGGGGTGGCGGTGGGTGGTGGGTGGTGTGGGTGGGGGTGGTGTGGGTGGGGGTGGTGGGGGGTGGGGGGTGGCGGTGGGTGGGGGGTGGTGTGGGTGGGGGTGGTGGGGGTGGGGGGTGGCGGTGGGTGGTGGGTGGGGGTGGGGTGGCGGTGGGTGGTGGTTGGGGGGTGGGTGGCGGTGGGTGGGGGTGGTGGGGGGGTGGGTGATGGTGGGGGGTGGTGTGGGTGGGGTGGTGGGGTGGGGTGGCGGTGGTGGGGGGTGGGTGGATGGGTGGGGGGGTGGTGGGGGTGGCGGGGTGGGGGGTGGCGGTGGGTGGGGGGTGGCGGTGGGTGGTGGTTGGGGGGTGGGTGGTGTGGGTGGGGGGTGGGGGGTGAGCAGAGTGAATGGAGCCGCTCAGTCTCTCTCTCTCTCTCTCGGCAACAATGTACCGCTCTGTGTGCCGTTGGTTTCCTTAGAGCCGCGTCCCTCGCCACGCGCACGCGCAGTGCACCCCTCCCCCTCCCCCCAGCGCCAGCCTCCCTCAGCCAATCAGCATGTCCCGGGCTGGTTTGTGGGTGGGGCTAAGGGGAGAGGGGGGGGGGAGGAGGGAGGGAAGGGGGAGGGAGGAGGTGGAGGAGGGAGGGGAGGGGCGGAGGTGGGCATTGGGAGGGGATACAGCCAATGTCTTGACTTCTGAAAGGCGCCCTGAGCCCACCGCTCGCGCCTCTCATCGAAGTCGCCACGAGGTCTCCGCGCACCGGGAAGAAATCCCTTCAAAGACGACGACGACGACGATGATGATGATGATGATGATACTAATAATTTGGTCACTTCAATCCACGGCTGTTTTCTTTGCGGGACGCTGGCCGCGCGCGATTGGCTGCCGCGTTTCGCCCGCCAAGTACAGTCAATTCGCTGTACTGCCTACTCAGTGAAACGCTTTGAGACGCCTCGAAGTCGTGATCCGGGGCTATATCAAATGCAAGGGTTGTTATTATTATTATTATTATTATTGTTAATTAATTAATACAAATGCAGTGTGGTGGGTTCTGTCCTTCTTGCTCTATCCTCACCGATAGAGCAACAAGGACAGAAACTACAATGCTACATCTGTCAAACCGCACCACCAGTCAGTCTGAAGGAAGGAAGCCCAGTCCAGCCCCACACTGACCTCAGATCTATCTCTTGACAGTTTTGATCTCACGGTATCATGGGTTATTTCCCCTGAAGGAGTATAAAGCCATAAAATGGCATGAAAAGGATTATAAACCCTAGGCTGTCCTCCATATGTTCCTAATAATGTTGCAGTTCATACCTTGTACCCCAGAGCAAAGCTTTTAACAGATGGCAGGCAGTGCAGTACATTATCTCCATTTATTTCTTATCCGGATCATTTGACCACCCATACTAGTTAGTTATATCTTAACAGACCTGTGCAAATCAAGCTCCACATTCAAACGATCAGTGTTTAATTGAGTTGCTGCAGATTTCATTATTTGCTTCCAGCATTTTGTGTTTTGAAACAAGTAGGTATTAGCTAGCTCCAAGAATCCTACACATGCATGCCCATTAGAGTTTTTGTTCTAAAGCTCCTATCTGATCATCATATACTCATTATTTTTATAATTGCTAATGAAAATAACAAATGTAATTATAAAAAGCTCAATGCCTGAAAGAACTTTTTTTATGAGGTCAAGACTGAAGCTCTTGTGTATTATTTGTCCCTTTGCCCATCTTAGCTCTTAAGACACCACCAACAGCAACAACAGCAAAACTACATTTGCATAGCGCTGTTCACATTGGGACGACGCCCTGTCACCACACACACACCACAACCATCCTCAGCTGAGAGGGTGGGCACATACTCATAATCTTTTCACAGTGGCACAGGAGAGACTGTCAAACACTGCACCCCTATAATTAACGAAGTGTGCAATGGCTGACTAGTGTTATTTCAACATTCACAAATCTCTTCTTCGCATTGTTCAAAGTAGTGTTATTGTGAAGCTCTGCCACTAGGAGAAATTGACACTCTCCATACTACCAATTTATCTCACTCACTTTCTGGTGCCATCAGCAATATGGAAAAGGAATAACTGAGTGAGGAGAAAATCCAAAGCCGAGCTGGTCTGGGGTGACTCCCTTTGATTTGCTTCCTTCACTTTGGAAACATTGGATCACTATTTGGTATCATTTCACAGTGGCACAGGAGAGGCTGTCACTCTGTACTCACTGTACACCTATCACACTGCACTCCTAACATTAACAAGGAATTCATAGATTGATCTGTGCTATTTCAGCATTCGCAAATCTCGCCTTCACATTGTTCACAGTACCAGAAGCCATAGAGAATCCCATAAATCACTGCACACCAAGACAGCACTACACATTTATACCTACACACCAGGTCGACAAGGACACGATGATGGGAGTGAGGTACCTTGTGTGGTACAGGAATCCTGGACAGCAAAGTTCTGCACGAGTTGAAATCTGTGAAAGATGGAATGAGAAGGCCAGTGAGGAGAGTAGTGGTGAAATCTTTTCTAGAGGTGCTGAAGACATGATTAATGGCTTCAACAATCGTGGTGATATACGCAAGCAATGTTCCAGAGGTGGAAGAAGACCGCCTTAATGATGGATCAGATGTGGAATTTGAAACTGAGCTCAGGTCATTAGAATTTTAGTCAAAGGCGTGTAGGCACTGGAGAACTGAATATGATAATAATAATAATAATAATAATAATCCTTGCATTTGATATAGCACTTTTCACGTCGGGAGGACATCCCAAAGCGCTTCACAGAACACACTGTAAAGTGAATTAACCGTATATTTGTGGGCGAACGCGGCAGCCAATTGCGCACAGCAATGCTTCAGTCTTGATGAAATTGTCCTCAGAAAGGTTAGCTGTCACTGATGTGGTGGTCAGCATTTATAGGATATACTGGAGCTCCTTTAAAAGCCCTATAAAGTGGGAAAATTTCTAAAAAGAACACCACCATTGTATTGTGCGGAATAGGAATGTCACTCCTGAAGCTCAATATTGGCTAACACTCAATTTGTTTCTCGCTTGATATTGATACTGTATTAAGGAGTAAATTAATTAGTTTGTATTATCTGAAATGACAGAATTGACTTTGACTGACAGATAATTATCAGATGTTAAATAGGCCAATGGGAGAGGAGAATAAGTTTAGGCGATAGTAATCTTAACGCAATAAATACAATGTAATGTTTGAAATGGATATCAGAAGCCATGCAGCATTGTGTGATTGTAACGTGAGCTAAACTATGAACCAGTAGATGGCATCCCACCAGCTCTGTGTGCAATAATACATTGCCAGGCCACCCCATGAGAATGTTTCTTTGTTGATATTGAGTTATAAATTGACAGTAATTTAGGTTGGTTGGATTTGTTTAGCAAATAAATATTACTGAAGTGTAACATGGAATGTACCAGTTTACGGTAGGACATATTTAAAGGTCTTTGGATTGCAATTTTTGTTTTATTAAAGCAATAAAGAGGTCTTACAGTTTATGGTTTTAAATATTGTAATGCTACAGTCTAGAGAATTTGAAAGGCTATGTTTACTACATGTGAGATTTTATTTGCTCGTATTTTACATATTTGAAAGATATTGATACTGTAATGGTTAGGGGTTATTAAGTGTCAAGAGATATGCAGTGCATGAACATCTAATTATGTTATTACAAAGCAATAATCATAATAATAATCCTTGCATTTGATATAGCGCCTTATCACGTCTTTGAGACTCACAGAATATACTGTAAAGTGAATTGACTGTATATTTTGTGGGCTATGTCTATTTATTGTCAAATATTTTCACATTATTAACAGTGTTAATAAGCTGAGATTAAATGCAGATATCAATACCATTGGAGACACATGACCTCTCCCCCCCCCACACACACACATGCAAAAAACATACATGTACATATACTTATAGACACACATAGACATTTTTACACATACATACACTCACTTATATATATGCATATACACACACGTGCGCACAAACACACACACAACTTACACACACACTCAAATAAACACATGCCCACTCGCACTTATACACTTACATATAGACAAACACACACACCCTTATATATAAACATACACACGTACCTGCCATTCTGAAATTCCTCCAACACACTCCCTCCTTCCCCACACTCAAAGCCCATTTCACAACTTACCTCTTTGACAAATTTCAGTCATCTTTCCCCATTCGTACTTTCTTCAGCTCTCCCCACCCCCCAATCTTGGGTGTCCAGCAGTGTGAAGCACTTTGAGGCATCCTCCCGATGTGAAAGCAGCTATAGAAATATAAATTATCTTGGAAATTGTACTGTATAGACACATGCTCACACTGAGTTAATTCTTCTCTGGACAAGAGCAGCATCCTGATCTTCCCTACAGAAATGATATAAATTATACCCGCGCCAATCAACCATCAAAATCTTGCACAGCTGTGGGTGACTATAAAACTAAAGCAGTACAAAAGCTCCACATACCAGATAATTTATTAATTATAGACTAGGTAAATGTGTTGAAATCTCACACTCATACAAGAAGTCAGGAATGTTTGATTGATAGTTCAGTATTTGTTGTTGATACATTCCTTTGGATTAGATCTTAATTATTCATTTTCCTCATTATGGGGTTATCTGGTGGCTGAAGATTGATCGTTTCTGCACTGCCTATGGGACCCTGGTACAACCACAAAAAATTGTTTTTATATTGCGCCTTTCACA